CTCCCCTTGCTGGAACTCTTTAGTATTATTGGGTAAAAAGTGACAGGTATGTCAATATGGAAAGAAGAAAGTCATGTATGATTATTTTTTCTTTACCTAGGGAGTTTTTGTGGAGCATTATTGCACTATGAAAGAGGGAAAACTTATTTTAAGATATTTGAATGTAAGAAAGAAACAACAACTTAGCTTGAATAAACAAAACAGGCCCATAGGAAGCAATTTCAGCGTGGGGGAGGGGGGACAACCTACAATTCTACATTATCAACTACCAAGAATTCCATAGAAAGTAAAAAAAAAATTGAAAGGCCATCAGATGTTTTTTTTTTATTTGGGTCATATACATGTAGTAGCTATGCTTTCTATAGGGTTCTGTCCTCGGGGAATCTACATGTATTTCATGGTAATTAACAGTTACAAAATTTTTCCTAACAAGTACATTTGAATAGGAAATTTAATCAAATAATAACAGAATATTTTAATCAAAATATACATTTGATATTTTGTTTAAGGCACCTGGCCCCCGTTCAAGTTCAAGATCATTTTATTCACTCAAACCATTTCAGGTACATGAGGACAATGAAGAATATTTACAACATATATTTATTATAAATTTAGGTCAGAGGTACAAATATATGATATACATAATTAGAATATGAAAAGGAAACGAAAAAAGAAAAACACATATGAAACATGTAATAATGAAATAAGCGAGGGGAAAAATCATGGAGGACTGACTAACTAAAATCATATATTTTCAATATAAACGAACGTAGTTTTCTTAGTGTCTCAGCAACTTGTTTTGTCATCAGTTGAGAAAATATGATAAAGAATAGTAGAATACAAACCTGTCAGGTATTCGATTGCATACTCTCAACAAATGAAAAAATAATTGGTAATTTCAATCTACATGTAAATTGTTTACGTTTCATAAATTTAGTGTGTTTTTGAGTTAACCAAACACCGTCATTCCTAGGAATATTGTTAATTTTACAGTACATACATGTACTTTAAACTACTGTGTTACATAACATTCATATATTGATAAAGTCAGATCTCCAGTGGCGTATATTCCATATAGGCAAAAAGGCTGTAGCCTACACATCATTTCCTCAAGAGTAAAACTTTGGTTGAATAAAGGGGCGGGGAGTTGATAATAAATCGTACCTATTAATTTATTTTGTTGGAAATGAAAAAAAAGTATTCTTTGCAATCCGCACTTTTATGCCTAACCGATTATGTTTACAGTTTTGCTTTATATTTAAGGACAAAAGTATTCCTTAGCTTGACATTTTTTTAAGCCAAAGTTCAAGTGTTATTAATATCAAGTCTGTATCAGAAAATTTAATCAAAAGCAACAGGATCCCATAATATCTGCAGGAAACGAAATTGATAACTTGCATTATATTTGTTAGTCAACATTTTGATCGAATTTTGATTATTTAGTAAGGAAGTTTCCATATTTTCTAAGCGGGTATCAAGTAAAAGGATAAGTTCTCAGTTTTGTTAAGTGGTCTTCACATCACGATATAAACTGTTGATTATTTAGTAAGGAAGTTTCCATATTTTCTAAGCGGATATCAAATAAAAGGATAAGTTCTCAGTTTTGTTAAGTGGTCTTCACATCACGATATAAACTGTAATATATGTACAATATTATTTTCACTGGTCAAATTAAAATTGCAGATGTCTGAGTTTGCAAAAGTGGTCCCTTTGACCCCCCCCCCCAATACCTATCGAGAGGAAGCCCCTTGTCTACCAAAGCTTTGCAGCTCAGGTTCAATATGTGGCTTCACACAAGCCTACACATTAGCAGAAAGGAATATACGGCACTGATCTCTTATTAAAAATCATCAGCTCAAAAGGAGATGCCACCGATTTAGGTACCCCACCGATATAGGACCCTCCACGTTAAATATTGGCAAAATTATTCAGGGGAGGGCACTACCCCCCCCCCAAGATTATATGAGTCGTTACTGCAGCCAAAACTTTGCCAGTTTGCAGTACAAAGTGGTAAAAATTTAAAACCGGCTATAAACATGATAAACATGATAAAAGACTGGATTCATATTCATTCAAATTGGGGGGAGGGGGGGGGGGGGCTTATCAAATTTTGTCGAAATTATTTTCAAAACATTATTAATGAAATTGTATAAGGCTATGTAAATTAATATTTGATACTTTTTTCTGAATAACCATCAAGGTATTATTAATACCATTGCAGAAAGAGATAAATTGTTTTTTTTAAATGTTATATCACTTATATGTATCCACTGAAAACAGTTGGGGGAGGGGGCGTGTCAGTCGATCAAGGTCAGGATATTAAATATACGAGTGTATCTAGTACCCAATCGTTTCACCCCATCCACCTCCCTACAATTTACATACTAATATTGAAATGGATAAAATAATGAAAAATTATAAGGGTTCTCGAGGGGTGTTGCTAAAACGAGGAACGGAAAACGTATTATATTTTTTATTTTAGATTAAATCACTTCAAATACACAAATTTATAAACAATATATATTTTATAAATTCAATCCCCCATTATTTAATTCAAGTTGATTTATTCGTGTTCATAAAATCTCTTATTCACGAAAATCGCAGTCATAGCAGTGACGTAGAAACGATTTTGAAGGGGGGTGGGGTAAAATTAAACTTACCTGAAAAGAATATTTGCCAAGCGAAAAAAGAAGACAATTGTTTGATTCGGGAAGTGGAATAAGAGTAAACTCCAGCATCTTTCATTTTCTTGAACTCCTTTATGGAGTATTTTGTATAACATCTCCTGTTAGTATTTTTAAAAGATTGTACCAATTTAAAATTGGCAGAAAGCAAACAACTTAGTGATGGCTCAAATTTTATATGTTCAAGTCTCAAAATTTATATGAATGATACTGGGAGTCCGTTTGAATTTAAATACTTGTAATTTCCCTTTTATTAATCAAAAAGATACTAACTTACTGAATACAAAATGTAAGGAACATGAATATTCATATGATTGTTTAAAAATTGCAAGTAAGCTTTTTTTCATTTCTAAACAATTGGCAAAATGCTAATCCTCATATTAGGGGTAATTTCTGACAATTTAGTTTAATTTAATTTTTAATTTTAATATTTTTCAATCTTAATTATTATTTCAAAGAAAATTGTTACATGTTTCAATATCTAACATAAATTGTTTATAATTTTAAGTACTATATTTGACTTTGTAACCCATTTGAGTTTGAGCAATTTTTTCAAAAATTGGCAATATGTAAATCCCCATATCTCAATTATTTATTACATCCCAAGCTCAATACTTTGCAAAGATAATGTTTAGAGTTATATTTGTACAATAAAATCAAAAAAATTAATTTCAAAGATTGGTCTTGGAAGATTTGGGGCATTAAATTTGTAATGCTTTTGGCAATTCTTGAAAATTGGCATCATGCCAATTTTCAAGAGTTGTCTGCCCTTTGATATATTGCATATTTGATTATGATAAATGTCAATTTTGAAAGAACATAGTCTTATGTTACTTAAAAATACCTTAATGGAAATGCAAGTTTAATTTTGAGTAAAATAAATTAAATGTGAATTTTACCATTTTTCTTGAATTTTTTAAGTGCACTTATACTTAAATGTGCAAAAAGGAGTTGGCGCTGCCTACGGCTGCCATGTTGAATGATGGGAATTTTTTTGGCCATTTTTGAATAACATATTATAAAGTCAAACTACCCACCAAATTTCATTAAGATATGACAACCTTCGATTTGGACAGTTCTGCATGGTTTTCTCGCGGACTGACTCTTAAGAAGTTAAAATGATGCTAACTTCAAGACAAGCACTAATTTTTATTCATATCTTACATGGAAGCCACAAGAGGGTGCAGAAATTGGACATTTTCCCGAATTTTCTCAATTCTGGTGGAATTTCATCATATTTGGGATACATTTCTCTTCGGAAAACATAGAGCACAGGCTTGCCTATCTGAGATTTATACACATATACTGCATCTGATATCAGTGTATGAAATATTTAAATTTAGTAGATAGGCTAGAGTGTGCTCTCTGTTTTCCGAAAGAAAATGTGCTGTAAAATTAATGAAAATTTGCATAAAAATGAGAAATTTCGAAAAATGACCTATTTCCTGACCTCTTTGTCACCCCTGTATATTCTAAAGCTTAAAACCAACACTCATTTTGTGGCAGGGGTGAAAACAGGTTTTCTTGGATAAACTGTTGGATCATTCTGAAAACACCCAAATTCGGGGCCCAAATACTGGTCTTTCCCTATCTTGTCCTTTGGCCCCGTCTCCTTACTGTAACCTTAACTGTGCTGCGTATTAATTTATAGACTGCTTTTGCTACCAGTCATCATCTCAAGCCACGGTCCGGAGTCCGCATTTAGCCCTGTCCTAGAATGGTAGAGGATCGTACATTTTGGCCGTAGTTTGCGACGAAGGCTACCAGTGTCTTTACAATCTCAAACAATCTGTGCCCAATACAGGTCTGTTAACAGCCATTCAGTAATTCAAGAAATTATCTTGCTTAATTAACTTGTTTGTTCACAGCTTGTTTCATTTACAAATTATTCTTATGGAGCGCATGGTGCTGCGTACGTGTACGTCGATCGAAGTAAAAAACATAAACTCCAAGTTGACAAAGATGTATTACTACATGTACAGATATAAGGGAAGTTGATTATTGAAAAAATGATATAATCACGTTTATCATTTAATTTTGTTGTTAGGTTACAATTAAAGTCTTTCTAGTTACATTTCCATGTTTGAAACATGTATCAGACTCTGTTAAATCTTTAAATTTCAATGGGATATCAAACCTCCAAGAAAAACCCCAAACTTAAAAGCTTTGCTGTGACCAAATGTCCATAAGCTTGGCCCTGAGATGACGATTTCAACGAATGAACTCGTGAATGATGACAATATCGGGATATTTTTTCTTAAAAATATATTTTCATTCATTTCTTCAATTCTGCATTCCGCTTTTTAAGAAACGTACCTCCGATATCAACTACCATGTATCTTGTGCCTTCTTTTGTCATGCCAAAACCCTCTGGATTTTTTTCGATGGGAAGAAATTGACAATATATTGATGCTGCCTCTGGTTCAAGAGCAATTTTCAACATTTTCGTTGGAATTCCTGCCTATTAAAAAAACCCAATAATCAATATCATAAAAAAACAATTAACATATTATGCAATGAATGTTAGAATCTTATCTTACTCCAATGGCACATTGGCGCATGAACTTCTTTGCAGCATCTCCCCATATTGCAGGAACAGTTAATACCCATCTCAAATCTTTTTTCGACAATTTAATGCCCATTTTCTGCGTAAAGTTTTTCTTAAAATGGACTGTCAATGCTTTAATCGAGAGGGTAAATATCTCTTTTGCTGGGTATTTCTTGCCTGTCACATCCTCCAGCATCATTTGGTCATTTATGACCTTGTTAAAAAAAAAGAAAACTCTTTAAAAGGACAGCATATAATTTTTAAAAAATTCATGGTCACTGGTAACTTACAGAAATACCGATATTTATCAGTCTGGATAATTCTTGTCTACAAACTAGAGCCAAGCACGCTGCAAATGGGTACATCCCACTAATTATTTTATAGAATCGGTAGGAGAAGAAAGTAGTGCAAAAAAAAAATACAAGTTCCTTAATTTGCAGACTTGCATAAAAAAAATTGGGCAGATGTACTGAACTGAGCCTCACACTTGTTGAAAAGGAGTATCTACCAAAAAAGCTTGGCAAATGTAATTTATCAAGAAGATCAGCCGAATTATTTTGTGTATTATAACGCCAGTGAGAACTCTGAAATTCCCCTACTTTCACTTTCATTTTTAGGGGTTCCCGCAGACAGACGCATTTTGCCAGAAGACGAATCTGACATGCCAACTCGAGATTTCAACCAAGGAAAGACAAGTTGATGTGCTTTGATTTGAGGGGTCACTTACTTCTGAACGAAAAGTAGGGACATCGCTATGAGAAGAAACGTTAACATTGTCGCCTATGGGAAAACAATTAGTGGACTGTACCCAAATCAACGAGTGATATAATGAAAGTATGGCTGATTAATGTTACACACGTGTGTTCATTTCTCATGGTTAAATCCGATAGTTACTCTATGTGAGACACTATATCTGGCGACGAGGATAAACCAGGAGTCGAGCAATGGCAGATGCGAAACCTATTTTGACAGATGTGAGTAGGATTGATAAGTTTGACCCACATGGAGATGTAAATTCGGTAGGAATTCGTTGGACACGGTGGGCAAAGGCATTTGAGCTATTTGCAAGCGAAAGAGAATAGATGACCCAGCGCAAAAGAAAGCTTTGATGTTACATGAGGCAGGGATGGACGTTTTCTAAACTCTAGAAGTTCCCGAACCGGGTGATGGCGAAAAACATGTAAGGGCGTGGCGTTAGCGACATTGAATAAAAACTTTACTCCTCAAGTAAATCACACGTTTGAAAGATCACAATTTCGTGCTATGGCATAAACGGCAACAGAAACTGTTGAACAATTTATCACTAGACTGAGACAGAAAGCTGTTTATTGTAACTTTACGGATATTGATGAAAGTATACGTGATCAAGTGATAGAGAAGTGTTATTCTCAAAGACTGAGAAGGAAATTGTTTGAGAAAAATGATGTGACACTGAAACAACTGAGAGAAGGAAGGATATGGAGATAACGAACAGTATTCAATCTCAACGTCCATTAAACAATATACAAAATAAGAGCAGAGCAAACACGGACCTCCGAAACATCAGAGGTGGGATCAGGTGCCATGGAGGAGTGAGCATCCCCTGCCGACCGGTCACACCCGCCGTGTGCTCGTTGTCATGATCAGGAAATAACGGAAAAAATCCGTCGTCAATTCAGTGTATAAATAATGGACTAACAATTGGTATGAAAAATGTCAGTCAGCATTTGACTCAATGATAAATTGTATATGCTGACAAGGTCATTCTATCGACCATAGAATTTACGAAATGATGACTTTAAACGAGATTGTTGATATTCTTGTTTCATCAACTTGCTTGTCAATAATTTACCTCGTTTAAGAAATTGTTCATACGTAGAGCACGCTTTTGCGTATCGAATCAACTGAGATATATACTGAAAGGATTAAGAAACGCATATTAAACTTTTGAGTTAAATTAAAACAATTATTTCAAATATGTTTTTCAGCATTTTTATTATACATTTTAATTCATCTTTAATCAACAAGTTACCAAGATTTGTGCGATTTTGAGTGATAGTTCTTGAGATATTGATATCAATATGTCGACACCCCCCAAAAACAAAACTAAAAATTCTCATAATCTCCCTTTCGCATCAGTAACAAACTTGATTTTCCTGTGCATTGAGTTCACAAGAGCATTTATTTTTTTTCATAGCATTATTAGTCAACCCTTCCGACGGTAGTCTTAATGGGTGAAATTGGGTGTATTATTCCAAAGTCAACAAATCCCCCCGCTCAATCGAATCCCGCGAATTTTCGATTTAGGATAGAATATATAGAACCCAGCAGGTTTGGTACTTGTTTATGTTTGTAAAAAAGTATCGACAAATATTAGCTACATTTTTCCAGTGTAAACATGCTAAAAAATATTACGCAAACGACGCGTACGTGCGCGTTTGAGAGTAAAATCGACGTAAACTGGCCAAGCTCGCGGCCCAAATTAGAGCAGAGAGTTTCTGTCAGTTTAGGGTGAAAAAAGTGAGTATGTTTGTCTGCTGTATAAATATCAGTTTCGGTGATAATGCCTTGACAATAACCGAGGTGGCGTGATGAAAAGCCCTATCTTGTTGTGACGTTGGTAAGCGTCAACGTCACCGTCATGGTTGGTTGGAAACATTTTAAGTTTACTCTCAGACAACCAAAAACCACTTTTATTTGGTTGAAAAGTTGAAAACAATCTGTACATCAGCATGTTTTTGCCTTTTTATTCACTTATGCAATATTGAATTCAATTACTAAACCCACAGTAGATTCCGTCAGCCATACCACGATTGCAAGAAATTTATACTGACTGCAAATATGCAAAAACGATGTCTATAAGTCTAATGCATAGTATGGTACTACAAAATTTTATTACAAAACTATCATCATTAACATGCACATGTTTTTGACTTTTTTTCATTTCCCCTACGTGATGCCATACATTTCATGGTTGAGTAGTTTTGACAAGTGATTTTGGTGCAAGGTAAACAAAATAAACATCTGACCAATTTTCATAATTTTCGGTCACATATTCAAAAAAATTTCCCACATCATGTTCTTGTGCGTTTCTTTTTCCTTTCAGTATATATACTCCGTATGCAGGTGATGAAGGTATATTGCTGCATAAGTAAGGGAAGTTGAGATAGAAAAGTTAAAGTCATCACGTTTATCATATAGCTTGGTTGTTAGATTACCATTAGTGTCTTTTTCAAGTAAAATATCCAAGTATGAAGCAGAAGTGTCGGACTCTGTGGTATCTTTTATCTCAAGCTCGTCAGGATATATCGTATCAACGTAGGAATGGAAATTATCATTATTAATTGACAATACGTCGTCGATATATCTAAATGTCGAGTTAAAGGCCACAGCAAGTGTTTTCTTCTTTTCAAACATAAGATTTTGCATAAATTCTGCTTCATATGAATATAAAAATAAGTCTGGTAATAACGGAGCGCAATTTGTACCCATGGGAATTCCAATAGATTGTTGGAATACCTGGTCTCCAAAAACCACAGAGATTTTGTCAATCAGAAACTCAAGCATCTTCTTGATGTCAACTTCAGAGTACTTATGTGTGCAATCAGAATAATCTGATTTAACAAAATAATTTTTCAAATGAGGTAAGTAAATTTACGAGTTCCATATTTTGTTGAAGAAGCAGCTGTCAATGATATCAAAAAGCCTGGATTTTAATTTGTCGTGGGAAATCGTTGTGTATAAAGTTGAAAAGTCGTAAGTTTTTAAGCTGCTGATTTTTGTAAAGTCTTGTGATTTCAAATTGTCCAAAAGTTCTTTAGAATTTTTAAGTATCCACGTCTGATTTACACCACATCTTGAATATATAGTTGCACAGTACTCTTGAAGATTTTCCTTCACTACTGTCAATATTTTAGTGAGAAGTAACGAAAGAGGCTTGGTTGAACATTTACTGGAACCTGCAATGTATCTTTGTTTGTAAGGATTCTTATGAAGTTTCGGAATCCAATATATATAAGGTAGTTAAATTCATTTTGGCTCTGTGGAATATTAAAAGTATTCAAAACTGACAGGTGATTTTGAAGAATTTCTTCCTTAGAAAGAGAAGTATGAGTATAAGTAGGATTACCACTTGTAGAATTAAATCCAAGTTCTTCTAGAATGCAATTTATATAATGAGCCTTACAAACGAAGACAATGTTGTTACCTACTTTGTCGGCAGGAACCAGTACGTACTGATCGTGTAATCTATCTAATTCTTTTTTCACTTCTGGTTTATTGAACACAGAAGGATAGATGGTTTTCATTTTGCCCCTCAATCTTTTGATACGTGACTTTAACATGGATCTGATACATTTAATCCATTCTGACAAGGTGTCAATGTCTTCTTTTTCATATCTGGCCCATCGTCTGGCGTAATTTTCAACAGAATCCATAATATTTATGAAATTCCGACGCCAGATGAAGGATCGGGGTTCCCTATATTTAGGACTTTGTAAAATAAGTGATCTAAGGTCCTCATTACGAACTATATTTACGTCACCTGTAATAACGTGTCCAGTAGGACTATAGTTATAGGGCGAAGAAAAACATGAACACGAAGGGGGATTATTTTTCAGATAGTCGATATCCAGGCCATGTAAAGTGTTTTTGTAATTGAAAAGTTTGGAAGCAATGGACGATGTATATTTGTAGGAAATACATGGTGTAATCTTTAACTTGAAATATGGTGGAATACAAGACTGGATCCTTTTGTGATTAAGAATATTACTTATATTAACCGCGTCAATTCATTTATTGGCATATTGAAGTTTAAGGAAAAGACGGATTGTTTTAGCTGCATTTTCTTCCGTGAAACGTGCGGGTTTAAAAAGCCTATGATATCCAATATCCACAATCACAGATCTGAGCCTATATTTAGGTGACGAGGAATCTAAAATTGGATGTTCCTTGGCCTTTTCAAGAAGACTATTTAAAAGTTTCAAAGGGACAGAGTAAAGTTTTGTTCGAATATGATGTAGACCTAACTGTTGATTTACAAAAGGTAGTAATGAATCAAAAGAGACGTCGTGTATTGCAGGTTTATTGTACGAACGATGTCCACGACTACGCTTACGTCTCCGAGTACTGCTAAAAAGTCCCATCACATTTACATTATTACACTGCGGACTTGTAATCGAAAGATTTCCAACACTATCGACATTTTCATTACATCCATAGGGAAAGGATGTCCCTATGGATGTAATAGCACAGAGTTTATAAGCAGCTGACAAGAGCTGTGACCATGGAACACAAAGATAAAGAAGAAACAGTTAACAAAGTGAGTAGATACAAACATAAACATAACTCTAAACAACAGGATAAACAAGACAAAAAGTGTTTTGCATGTGGTAAATATAGTCACATTCGCACGGTTCCCAAAAGTCCAGCACGAGGACAGAAGTGTCGGAAATGTCAAATGGAAGGACATTATGAAGTATGCTGCAAGACCAAGTCAAAGACAAAGTGGCACAAAAGTAAGAGGTCAGCAGTCCGAAATATTGAAACTTCAGAACTAGAACAAGGTGAGGAGTCCGAGAGAACTTATGTGTTTACTATTCAGAACAGGGATCGATCAAAGAATGACGTTAGTGTTAGTCTTGGTGGTATTGATACAAAAGTGATCATTGACTCAGGAGCCTCAGTGAACGTTATTGACAGACACTTATGGGAACAACTCAAGGAAAAAAAAGTGAAATGACACAGACAGTCGAAAACATCGAAAAAGAACTGTATCCTTATGGTAGTAACAAACCACTGACCGTGGCAGGAAGTTTTGTTGCTGATGTGTGAACGCGAGACCGGTGTGTTTCAGCTGAGTTCTTTGTTGTAGAAGTGGACAAGCTCTTCTAGGCTATATATGATACTTCTATCCAGCTGGGAGTGCTACAGATTCAAGAAACAAGTACTGTTGCTCCAGTGCACACTGTGAATAGCACGGATATTAAAACAGAGATACTAGGGAAATTTCCAAAAGTGTTCAAGGGACTTGGAAAACTGAAAAACTTCCAACTTAAAATTTCAATTGATGAGTCCGTACTTCCTGTCAGTCAGTCTGTACGTAGAGTACCGTACCATTTACGCAGTAAGCTAGTCCAGAAACTGGATGAACTTGAGAAGATGGATGTTATCGAGAGAATCAAAGGGCCAAATCAATGGGTATCACCTATTGTGGCTGTACCAATGAAGAATTCAGATATTCGCATATGTGTCGACATGCGTAGAGCTAACGATGCAGTCGACGAAATCTTGCAGGACTTGAATCAGAGCAAAGTTTACAGTAAACTAGATATTAAGTGGGCCTATCATCAGTTAGAGCTTACCCCAGACTCTAGAGAAATAACTACCTTTAAGACACCAAGAGGACTTTATCGATACAAACGTTTATTGTTTGGAGTGAGCTGTGCTCCGGAAATGACAAAATCATCCAACAGACATTAGGAGACTTACCTGGTGTGAACACAATATATGATGATGGTGTGGTCCATGGATCACCAGAACAAGAGCATCGACGCAACCTAGAGTTAGTGTTGAAACGTTTAGAAGACTCTGGAATGACTTTGAACATCGGGAAGTGTCAATTCAATATGGAGAAGATCGATTTCATGGAATACGTACTTTCTGAACACGGTATCGGAATTTCAGACAGCAAAGTTCAGGTGCGCAGTTTCTTGGGGCTAGTCATTTCGCAGGCAGATTCATACCAAACCTGTCCACTATAGCAGAACTCTTAGACTTTTGCGTAAAGACCAGTCATTTGCATGGGGACGAGAACAAAACGAAGCACTTGACAAACTGAAAAAACTGTTTAGCTAATGTGTCAACTTTAGCCTACTTTGATGTGAATGCCAAAACACAAGTTATTGCAGATGCAAATCCAGTCGGCTTAGACGCTGTTTTAGTCCAGGAACAACATGGGAAACCTAAGATTATCTCCTTAGTGTGGGCATGTGAGCGGTTTCACATGTACGTGATGGGGAATACTTTTGAGCTGTTAAAAGACCATAAGCCACTTGAATTTATTTTCTCACCGAAATCGAAACCATGTGCAGGAGTAGAAAGATGGTTGTTAAGGATGCAGAACTACAGTTATACAGTTCATCATATTCCGGGTAAACCTAGCTTTTTCATTGTCAAGGATGTTGTCAACAGATACACCAAATCTGACAAGTGATACAGAGGAATATTTACGCTTTGTGATTGAAGAAGCTGTTCCAATCGCAATGACTGTATCTGAGCTTGAGAGAGCATCATTGGACGATGAGGATCTCAAGAACTTGAGAGAATGCTTGGTAACAGGGAAATGGTATCAGTTACAGAACAAAGACTATTTGACAGTAAAATCAGAATTGTGTACTGTTGGACTTCTGATACTACGAGGGACAAGGATTGTCATACCCAAGTCATTACGCGACCAAGTACTGGCACTAGGTCATGAGGGACATCCTGGAATTGTTATCATGAAGCAGCGATCCAAGTTTTGGTGGCCTAAAATGGGCCAAGACATGGAACAGTGGAACAAAGCTTGTTATGAATGTCAGCTAGTATCACAACCTGAAAAGTGGAACCTATTCCTGTTTGTTTAAATGAAAAGGGGAGGATTGTAGTGTTACTGTATGATTATTATAGTTTATTATATTTTATGATCTAAGAAAGATAACTCTGACTTATTGATGTGTTAATTTTATCTTCCTTGTAATCAACCGGAAGTTGATGTAATAATGTCTTCCGTCTGATTTTTAGTACTTGTTAGATAGGTGAAAGATAAATAAACCATTCATTTAAATGACGACCTCCAGACCAAAGATGATGTTGATATGTCTTTTGTATTTTTATAATTTAAATCTATGCTGATTTTCGTTAAAAAAGCAAATAAAGACTACTACCGGTTTGACCAAAAATGACTCCAATCACCAGAAAATTGGGTAAGAAGTCTTGGATGAAGTACAAGTAAATCATATGAGTAACCGGAAGTTGATAAAAGTTATACTTGACAGGAATCATGGTCGTTCGTCCTCTGTGAGATGTATATATTTAATTAAATTTAGTGACAATTTCTGTGAAAATAAGCAATTTTGACTACTTCCTGTTTGGCAGGAAGTGACGACTTCCCGCGCTTTTTGGTGATCTCACAAGCTTGTCATATTAAGCAAGTTTGATGTATTACAAATTCTCAATACTTTTTGAGATATCGGGGAAGTTTTTTCGGTCCTTCTTGATCCCCTTATTATAGACGGTGGCTATTAATATTATAGCCACATGCTATCGCTGCTGCTCTGGGCTATGAAAAAACAACAGTGTAAAATCACAGGGACCCTAGAGGCAATTTTTGAAGAGTCAAAATTATAAAACTACTAGGCTTGTATCGATTTTGAAAATCAAATCCAATTAACGAATAAAGGTGATTCAATGACCATTTCCCTTTTTTTCAATATACTCAATGAAAATTAAATTTTTGTGAAAAAAAAATAAAGTGGGTAACATTGTACTCAAAATTTAAGATTTTTTAGAAAATTTTTTCGAGATATATGCAAAAAAATTTTTTGGGGTCAACCCTACAACTCCCTAAAGTCTGTGTACTGTTTTTTTACGACATTTTTAAAAATCCTTTGTTTAATATTACTTATAAAATATTTTTACAGATATGTCTGAACATACCGGTACCCCCCTTTTTTTTGGTTGTTGATCATTTCCACATGAATAGTGATAGACCGAGCAAAAGATGGCAGCCAACACAGTAAGTTTAATTAAATTACTACAATGTAAGCATGGAAAAATATTATGAAGAGAACAGGAATCAATTTTTGCAAAAGGATGTAAAACTTAAAATAAAGAATAAAAAAATAAATTTTATATTGAGAATGATGAAATCGTGTTAAATATTAAAACATATAAGTAATCCATTGTAATGAATACATTATTATCTTAAATATTACTGTTTTATCGTATGGTAATGGGAACAAAAAAGGATAAACTATATTTATATTTGAATGTTTTAGCTAAAAATGTACTTTCCTTTTTTTCTAAACATTAAAGAAGATGGGCGGATAAGGCGGGCAGAATGCCTGTAGCGTCAGATATTAAGAAATCACAAAATTTACATCTCATCATTGAAATTTATGAAATTATGAGAAAATAAAACATTTTCTGAGAAAAAATAAATCTCTTTAAAAAAATTCATTCATTAAAATATTCCATGGTATTTGTTGGATTCGAACCCCAGCAATAAAATACCGATGTATCAGACTGCTTTGAGACTAACGCACTAACCACTATGCTACATGGTTCATGTATTGTTGTGGCATTTAAATCATGTTTGTGATATGACCCTTGACTAAATGGACTTTAAGTATTTCGCGGAAAGATGCGAACGTTTTGTCATAAAAGTGTATTTTTAAGGTATAGTGGGTCTTCCCTCCATTTTTTTTAACCCAAAAATATGTATTTTATCGCAAACTTTTAGGATTATCTTTCAAAAAAATGGAGCGAGGACCCACTCACATTAAAAATTTTTGTTAAGTTGTTGTAAAGTATGAAAAAATGATCGTGTTTTCAGTTTTTGTGAGATTTTTGTAAATTAAAGAGATTTTACATTAAGTATACTTTTATATTAGATGAAATATGAAATAAAATTTGGATATAATTGAGATTAATTTTTTTTTACCTCTTATCTGACGCGCTATAGGCATTCTGCCCGCCTTATACGCCCATCTTCTTTGTTCAAGAACTGCATCTTCTAGATTATTACATATATAACATAGTTACTTATAAATATTGAGACATATTTCATATAAAAAAAATCTACATAAATACTAAACATATACACATACCTTTTTATTGTGTAGTTTCATTTTGAATCTTCTGAACAGCATTAGGTTTTCGCTTTGATTTTCTGCCGACTCTGCATAGAATTTATCTTCTGCATGGAAACCAAAAGCAACAAAACTGCCATCTGTCTTGATAAGAAGAGATGTAGAGGTTTTTAGAGACAAAAGATTTGAACCACCTGGAACCAACTGCTGGTTACTTTGGATATCCAACGGGTCACGGCTAAACTGTTCTCTGGAACTAAATGCGTAACCGGAATATGTTGTTCCGAAATCCACAGCGACCACAAAAAGGAAGTTTTCCTCATCTTGAACAGAATCGTCCGGCGTATCCTTTTCTTCATTGCTGTCATTTAGACTATCATCAAAATCGGTGTAAAAATCGTCAATTGTTACGTCTGCCATGCTAGCAATCACCTGATAGATTGTAGGTAAATCACAAAAAGGTAAAGTTTTCTAATTTATCTCTACATTTATCAAATTTACATATGATCTCTAAATTAATCTTAAAACATCAAGTTTATGGTTGATTGTAAGTTAACTAAACATTTATCATTTAGCATATTAGTGCAAATGAAACTTGATTGTAAAATACATCGCATTTATAAAATGTATTTGTACAACGTGATGGACTTATCCTGTCATTTTGTTTAATTTGTTAAAAAATAAACTATCAATCACCCCGAACTTTGAAAGTACAAAGTCGAGAAGTGTTTGCTTCAACTACATGTATCAAGGAAACTCTAAACTTAACACTTAAGAGGTTTACTTTTAGCGTAATTTTATGGGTGACCGTCTAGCATTCCGTTGGTCCGGTAGACCGACAAATTGTGGTCACATAAAACAGATTGCTATGTAGCATACAGCTGAAATCCAGAATAAATGTCAAGTGTCAGAACAATTTCCTACATCACAACTGTCAACAGTGAGACTTCGCACAGAAAAAAAAAATTTCGGTCGGGTTCGATCTACTCTACATGTGTTTATTTTGGAGCTATTTTCTGTAACCACTTACGGTGCCTCATTACACCAACAGTTTATTTTAGATTTCATTACACCACCATTTATAATGTAGATGTCAAATACTGTAAAATCACATATTTTCGTGCATGGAACGCCGTCACTGCCTTATAGCAGAACACTACAATTGCATTGTGTCAACTTTCCATTACATTATGTCAACACTTTGTGACATTTACTTACAGTACTATTGCATTGAGTCAACCTTCCATTACATTATGTCAACTCTTTATGACATTTACACTCAGTACTATTGCGTTATGTCAACTTTCCATTACATTATGTTAAGTCTTTATGGCATTAACTCGAACTTCAATTGCATTGCGCCAATCTTCAATTGCATTATAACCGGTCACGGTAGCCTAGTGGTAGAGCGTTCGCTTCGTGATCGGGAGGCCCGGGTTCGATTCTCGTTCGCGGCGCCGCGTCATACCTAAGACGTAAACAATGGTAGTGACTGTTCCTTCGCCAAGCGCTCGGCACTAGAAGTGAAAGTCATGGGTCTTTCGGATATTACCTTAAAAACGTAGGTCCCGTGTCACGGTAGGCGCTGGCACGATAAAAAACCCTCACTGCTCAATGGCCCTCAGTGCCGAGTACAGGTCTAAATTTGAAGCCCTTCACCGGCATACGGTGACGTCTCCATATGAGTGAAAAATTCTCAAGAGGGACGTTAAACAATATACAATCAATCAATTGCATTATATCAGCTCTTTATGACATTAAGTCAAAACAAATTTACGTGGTTTAAAGATGTTTTTATATAATTTCAACTCATTATTTCATTATGTGCACTCTCTACTATTTGGTCTCAGTAGTTCATTACATGATGTGAATTTATCTTTAATTCAATATCAAGTCGCTATAACACGATGTCAGAATTCCATTACATGATGTGAAAAAAATTGTCACATGTGGCCAGTTCTTTACTATATTGTGTCATCAATGTGCTACATGACGACGGGAATCTATTACATGATGTCAATTTTCCCTTACTTTTTGACAAATCATTATTATGTTATGCCAATGTATCTTTAAATTGTGTCTAAAATGCTTAGCCTCTTGTCAGTATATCTTAGAATATTTCAACTCTTTATTGTGTGACGTAAGGTTTAGGTTATGCCTAAAAGTTCGTTGTGTGTTTTCAATATTACATGCACATATGTTAAACATGCAAATGATTTGAATTAAACATATCAAATATTAAATAATGCACAAGACTTTATTAATCCTTAATTAAATATCAGGTTAAATTTATAAATAGAATAAGTTTTACATAAGTATAACTGAAATAAGTTGAAACGTTTTATTAAAAAAATCTAAAGCATGAGAGCTTCCGGGCTTTCACCCCCTGGTCCCCAACTTAGACACCCCCCCCCCCATAGCTACTCTTCTCCAGAACCCAAGATCGCCACTGATATGAGCCAATGTTTACTAAGGCATGGTCAATTGATTTAAGTGAGGGTCTGGTAGATTTTTGTAACAGAATTCTGGTCCTGGAATGGTTGAAAAATGACTAATTCCATTGACGTTGCATCGTTTTTGAAAGTTGGGGGAGGTGTGTCAGCCAGAAAAAAAAATAACGTACAAGAAAAAGCATCCCCCCAAAATATCCAAACTCGAAAATCCCTATTTCGGGTGAAAAGGGGGGGGGTCCACCTTCGATCAATCCTTAAAAAAAATTTCCAAATATAGTACTACAATACCCTTATTCTTCAGCAAAAAGTGGGGCTGAATTTCAATGAACATTTTCTATGATAAAGTTATGTCGGAAAAAAGAGGATGTCAGACCCCCCCCCCTCTGAAACGTGTCTGTAATTCGTCCTAATTAATCAGGACCCCCCCCCCCCCCTTCCCAGTCGAGAAAACACGGTTATCAACTTTGACATAATGTAATTGCATTTTGCAGCACGTAATGAACATTTGTAATCAACATGATAAAGAATTAACACAACGGAGAGATATTTATAAATCACATAAGAAAGAGTTAATATATTCTTATTAAATATCCACATAAAGGAATGGAGTTTTGTCATAATGTAATAAAGTGTTGATATAATATGGAACACCGGGACTATCTCCATAATATATGATCACATTATGTTATAAATCTATTTACATCACGTAATAAAGCACTTACAATGAAGCGCATTGAAGTGCTAAAATTTTCCGTTCGAATGGAACGTTTTGAGCTATCTTTAGAACGTTGTTTGTCATAGGATGACACGCCCATTTCTATAGAAATAGATAAAACTGTCAATTTGTTTATTCGAATACCTGTAGAACAGGTTTTCCATAAATATTGTAACCAAGCGGGAATGGAAAACGCAGGTTCAGTTTAATAAATTTATTTGGAAATGAAAAAGCAATGGCAGATCTACAAATACAAAAGCATATATACAATATCATAATACACATAGACACTGAGACAAAATACTTTTATTTCCTATTCACTTCAAAAATAAGAAAATTTAAGTTTACTAAGCCCAAAAACGTCAAAATCATAGTTTAAAATACCTTTCTCTCAAAAATATGAAAAACACTTGAGCTTATAACTTGGACTTAATAAATAAAATGCAAAAATTTATTAGACTAAGAAAATTACCTTTCAAGTGGTGACAACGGGCAGCTGGTAATATGTAAGTTAAATTTCCCGCACTGACAGGGATGGGCCCATGCCTCAGTATATATAGCAGAAAAACCGGTTAAACAAGGGGGTACAAATTTACTGGCCAATGAGATATTGTGAGTAGAATTCATGAATGGAGACTACTATCAAATATGGCATATAGTAAATTATGGCTCACTAAGTTATTCAATAAAGATAAAAAAAATTATTTTAAATAAATATGACTCCGCCACATACTCCCCAGCTTTAAATTTAGCGTCTCGATAAATGAAAAATATATATTCTATCAAAATACATTTTTCAATAATAGCCACATACTCCCCAGCTTATATTCATTAACACTCCAGTCTAGATCCCATAGCCAAAGGTCATCTTCATATCTGTTATCATGTAATAATTCACAGGCCTCGTTTGCTAGCTTTTGGAGCAGTCGATCCTACCGGCGACGCCAAATGTAACCAAGCGGGAATGGAAAACGTAGGTTCAGTTTAATAAATTTATTTGGAAATGAAAAAGCAATGGCAGATCTACAAATACAAAAACATATATACAATATCATAATACACATAGACACTGAGACAAAATACTTTTATTTCCTATTCACTTCAAAAATAAGAAAATTTAAGTTTACTAAGCCCAAAAACGTCAAAATCATCATAGTTTAAAATACCTTTCTCTCAAAAATATGAAAAACACTTGAGCTTATAACTTGGACTTAATAAATAAAATGCAAAAATTTATTAGACTAAGAAAATTACCTTTCAAGTGGTGACAACGGGCAGCTGGTAATATGTAAGTTAAATTTCCCGCACTGACAGGGATGGGCCCATGCCTCAGTATATATAGCAGAAAAACCGGTTAAACAAGGGGGTACAAATTTACTGGCCAATGAGATTTTGTGAGTAGAATTCATGAATGGAGACTACTATCAAAAATGGCATATAGTAAATTATGGCTCACTAAGTTATTCAATAAAGATAAAAAAAATTATTTTAAATAAATATGACTCCGCCACAATATAATAGCCAATCAAATTGACAGTCTAAATAAACACTGAGTAAACATGTGTTCGACAGAAACATGTGTTCTGGTAACTTCAATAGACATGATAAATTCAGAAATATGCAAATATTCGTTGCAATTTGTGTTTTACAGAAGCGGGGAGTCTCTAACTCTCCCTTCTTATCTTTTTAAAGCTCCATTTCAGTGTAACTCATGTCGTTTGTCGCGAAGAGTGGGGTTTCCTAAAACATAACGACGAATATTTCTTTCTCATTTCTAGAAATATGGGCGTGTCATTATGTTATAATTGACGTTCAAAACATGACTCAGAACGTTTCATTCCAACGAAAAATTTTACCACTTCAATGCGCTTCATTGTACATAAAGGTAAGATGTATTCACCTCACATTATGATGACCTCGGCGTAAAATGAAGATGCATTAGTATCACGTCATAATGTTTTGTTATAATAGAAATATACACTCACAAAACTTAATGGATGTTGACTTAATGTAATGATAAATTTAATCATAGAACACATGTAAAACGAAATTAACTTGACGTAATGCAATTTTGACCTCACATACTAAAGAAATGAAATAATATAAAGAAAGTTTTAAAAGAATGTAAACATATTTTCACTTTACATAATGAACTTTGGTCTTCAAGTTATAAAGTGCCGACATAATGGAAGAATGTGTTTACTTCATGTAATGCAGCATTGACATGATGTAAAGATAGTTTTACATAACTC